CTTCCTCCCCGGGAAGAGGCTGCTGTTTGTTAAAATGTAGCTAATTCGCAGCAGGCAGTGAGGAAGGCCTTGGACTCACCCAACCAGTAAGGGAACCGCAGGACCCCGGGGGTGGGGGGTGCTCACACCGCAGGCTTTCACGGGAGTCCCCTGCAGTGCTGGTTTACTTAGGAACTAAGGAAGGACGCTGCTTGAATTTGCATAGATGTGACTGGGCCCGCCCAAATGGTGTTTTGGTAACTAGGTCTCTAAGTTCTAACAAATGACGGAAAGTGTGGGAAACTGTTCAGAAAGCCATGTGGGTGGCAGGCAACACTGTAACCGAGGCTTTCCGGGTGACAGGCAACATTGTAACCAAGGCTTTCAGTTTGCCCTTCCCTCTCCTGTGACTTCATTTGCTCCTCACTGCCACCCCGTGAAGGGGGTAAGAAGGATACTGTTACCCCAGTTTCACAGATGTGGAAACTGAGGCTCGGGGCACTTTGGGGAGGGTCACAGGGCTGGCAGCCAGGAGAGCCAGCACTCAAAGGCCTGCTCTCGGGCCACCAGACCCTTGAAGGCCACAGGGGTCTGGTGGCCTAACAGCTTTGCCTGTCATATAAAAATCTGCTACTCAAGGTCCCTCGCCAGCTTGCAAACGGAATAAAAATATTTGCCTGGATGGGGGACAAGAAATAAACTAAAAGATACATATAACTACGATTTTCGTGCTAACCTGATGCAGTGTTTCACTCCGCTCCGGAGGAAGACGTGGGCCAGCGTACGGCAAGGGGGAGTGTCAGGGGAGCCCCCCACCCCCCAGAGGCATGGAGACAAGAGAACTTGTCCTCGCCTGGCACTGGTGGTCATTCGCTGAGCCGGGACCCTCGGCTGGCCTCCCTAAAGCCACACACGACGGTCCAGGTGGGGGCTGGTTTTTTCTAAGTTGATGGAACCGTGAGCAGGCCACACTTCCACCGGATAGCATCCTTCATTCCCGAGATGGGGTGACAGTTATATCAAGTATGTTCTGCTTTTATCGACTACGCCGTTAGACGAGATAACCACATCGCTTTCAGTAGGACATGGACTATATGGTTCTTTCTGGAATTAAATGCACTGGAGAATATCTGGCGCCAGGAGCCAAATTGCTTAAATTTTTCCCCAAAAATTCTGGAAGAATTGTGTTTTTTTAACCCGTGTGACATTAAAAGAAATTGGAACACCATAAACCCAACAGCAATGAGCTTTAATCCGCAATGGCTGAATGCAAGAGCGGTGAGGGAACCATGTGACTTAGGTGACTTCACCCTAAATTTGTAACAGGCAATAGCTATCATTTTTCCTCCTGTTTTGGGTGCTTTTTTATTTTTATTTTTCCTGAAAAGTGTTTTTTTTTTTTCCACATATAAGAATATTTTTCTTACAGATCAGTACTTCCTTATTAATTTCTTCCCCTACTAAGTTAAAGAGTGACTCTACATGTAGGCTTAGGGCTTAAAAGATGTTTATTTTTTTATTATTATTATTGTTTTTAAAGTTAAGGGAAATACCTTTGGTTGGTTGGTTGAGTGATTAGACATCAGAGGTTGGCTTTTAGTTTTTGAGACAACCAAGTTGTTCTGCAAACTGAAACTTATGTTTATTAAGAAACCTCAAATTCAACTGCAAAACACCTTGACCTTGAAGCGTTTTCATATGCTTTGTTTAACTTTCAAGGACCTTTTAGAAATTATCTGCTGTTTCCCAAAAAGCTGTATCTCAAGGTCAGCATTTCTTCCACTTTCATTTCAATTTTGCTTCGTTTCTATTAAATTCAAATAAAGGTTGATATAATCCTTGTGTTAGGTAAGGTTCTTCTGGATATAGGTGACAGAAACTTAAACGTTAAAAGGGAATCTGCTGACTCCCAGGATGCAGAAGGTCGGGGTGCCTCCAGATGTGGGTGGGTCTAGGCGTGGGCCAGAGGTGTCCTCAGGGTGCTGCTTTGTTATTTACCCCTCCTCAGCTTCATTCTCGAGACACCCACTCCCCAAGTGGTGGGGAGGTGGCCTCACGAAGGCCTCCACTGACGCCACCCGACCTTAACCACCTGGAGGAAAAAGCCGCCTCCATCATTAGCTCCCCCTGCAAACACTAGGAAGGACCCTGGTTGGTCCCCTGCGTGTTGAGTTGCATGTCCAGCCATGAACCAACCTGGGTGTCGGGACCTTTAATTCCAGCGATGGCCACCACTATTGGGACAACTCTGCACGGACTCCTGCTTTCATGCAGGCACACACTGGCAGATCTCACTCCACAGCTGCACCACATACCCCTTCCTCCCGACCAGGGTCACCCAGGTAGTCATCGGACACCAGGGGACACACATGCACAACGCAGAGGGCAGGAGAGTTAACCGTCGTGACAGGGGAAACGAGTCAAGAGACAAGTCCCTCCCTCCCTTCCTTATTTTCTGAGTGATGGAAGACACCTTTCAAATACTGGAATAAATACTGATAAATTCAAAGTTAAGAACATCTATTTATCGAAATAGAAAGTGAAAAAACAAGCTACACGTGAGAGAAGAAATCTGCAACATATAACTGACAAAAAATTAATGTTCATAGTATATAAAGAATTTGACAAACAAGCAACTAAAAAAATGGGTGAAAGACATGAACTATTATAAAAATGAGACAAGCAGAGTCTGTATGTGTTGGTCCCTAGGTTTTTTGTTACTTTACAGTAGGCTGGGATCTATAAGTTCAAAAGCCTGCCAGCACCAAACTCAAATTCTTACACACCCAGTTGTTTTAAGTATAGGCCTGATAAGCAGAATTTTCGACTACTTTCACCTCTGCATACTTTACGAAAATGCACCCAACACCTGCTAGGCATAGATGACAAACCCTGTGGTTGTAAAGACCCCAAGCTGCCCTTAGGGCTTTCTAACCCGGAGACCTCCCGCCAGGCAGCTGGGCGGCATCAGTTAAACGCCTGGGAATTCCCTTGCCCTTCTCTGCTTTGGGATGTGTTCCCGAACTCCCCTCCCCACAAAATCTCAGGATTTTCCCGTTCTGCGAGGGACTTCTGCATGCAAACCTGTCAAAGTTCACCAAATAAAGCTTGAGTTGCTCCCTGCCACCTCGCAGTCGTATGGTTTTCCTCGATCTGCCTTGAAATTCCTTGAACCCAGAACATTGACATTACACAGAGAAGGAACTGCAGATGGCCAGTAAACAATCTATGAGATGCTTAACCTCAGGGATATGCCAATAAAGCCATTTAACTTCCATGTCATTGCCAAAACTCAAGAAGTCTGAAACGTTGGCGAAGATATGGATGCTGGTGGGGGTGTAAACAAGCATAACCACTTCGAATGTCGTATAAAGTTGAACACTGACACTCCCAAGACCCATCAACTCCACCCCAAGGTAAACAAGAGAAATTTTGGGACAGAAGCACCAAAAGGCAATGCTGATAGGAGCGCCGTTGGAAGAAGCAAAAAAACCCTAGAAATCACATAAATGTTCAGCAGTTGGAGAATAGATAGAGAAATTATGATACTCAAATAATGGATGGTTATATAGCAGTGAAAACGAAAGAAATGCATCTCCACTCAACTAGAAGGATGACGTCTGGCACTCAGGTCTGAATGTGTCCCCTTAGAGCTCAGACGTTGACACCCTAACGCTGCAGGCGATCATGCTGGGAGGTGGGGCCTTTGGGAGGTGCTTGGGTCCTGAGGGTGGAGCCCTCGGGAACAGGATTGGTGTTCTTATAAAAGGGAGAATTCCAGCTACCGTACACGGATAAGTCTGCCACCGAGAAGAGAGCCATCACCAGCCACGGTGGCATCCTGACTTCCAGCCTCCTGAACTGTGAGCAGCAAATTACTGTTGTCTCTAAATTTGGTATTTTATTGGAGCAGAACGAGTGGACTAAGACACTCAGTAACTTGTTTGTGACAATAAAAGTCCAGAACCCTAGATGAAAGTTCAAAAACACACGAAAATGAGTAAAGATGTATAGCTTAATAATGCACATGACCGTGAAAAGAACTTAAAGCGACGTGAGAGCTGTGTAGACACAAATCATGATGGAGGTGACGTCTGAGAGTGGGGACAGCGTAAAGGATGCGGCCGCTTAGAAACAGATGAAAGTTATTGGTAATATTTTAGTTCCTGAGTTGGGGTGGTGAGGTGGCAAGTTAAGGGGAGGGTGGGGGAGTCATTACATCACTTTTAAAATAAATTATGCAGGCCTCCAAGGACTACAGAATGCATTCATAACTGTGTACTTGAGGTCCATCTTTAAAAAAAAAAAAAGATGGTACCCACTTACCGTCTCAGGCCTTGGAGCCCAACTACGTTACACAAGACCGAGGAGCTTAACCACGGCCACGAGCGACAATGCAGCACCCCGTCCCCGAGGACCTGCTGCCCACAGTGCCCACGACGGCGCCGCCCACAGACCGGCAACAGCCCCAGGCGGACAGAGCGACAGCAGCCGGGCCGGGCTGGGACCGGACGCAAACAAAAGAGCGAGCGGTCACGTGGCGCCCACGCGCG